AGCACATGAATATCATTCCCATAAAGTTATGATCATATGACATTTGTTATTCCATCATCCAGTCTTATGTAAAGGATGTTTTGAGAGTAGTTCACTACTGTGTTAGTATTTCAGTGCTAGCATGCTAGCTGTCCCGCTAGCTGGTGATTTAGTATGTTTTTCTCTCTTTTTCACCATTTTATTTTTTAATTCCTGATTGAAAACATCCGCCAAGCACATTACTATTTTTCCCATGAATTTATGATCATATATTTGTTGTTTCATTAGCAGCCTTGTGTAGAAGACGTTTTGAGAGTAGAATAAATGTGTTAGCATTTTGGTACTAGCATGCTAGTTGCCCCACTAACCTAGCTGCTAATCTGCTAGTGGTGTTTTAATACTGTATGCATATCATGTAAGCAAGTGAACAAAAAACATTTTTTAGCAGCAAGTTTCCTGTTTTTTCTGCCAACCTTCTTTCCAATGTTTTGTCTTTATAAGCTTTGATGTCATCGCAAAGATTTTTATTATGTTACTCCTGTCTGACAACTTTGACTCAAATTAATCGTAAGAACTAACAAGCAGTCTGTTCCCTCACCCTTTCTGCCATCATTACCCACTCAGTTAAAGGGGGGTTGCTGCTTCTTTATTGCTGTTCTTAATGCTGTTGTCTGCTTAATGGGCCAGATATGAGAGGTGCTGCAAGCCGGCGTAATAAGTCAGTGATTAGAGGGCGCCTTGTCACAGCAGCAGCAGCCCCGCAGACAGTGGCATGCTCTAATTGCCATATTAGACGCCCCTTAACTATCTCATCAGCTGTCAGAGTTCAGCTTGTAAACAGCGGAGGTGCATTTGATATTTCCATTTGTTTTATTTTCACCGATCCCGCTTAATCCGAAACGCCTGCACCGTGTGACAACGTGATGTTTTACAGAAAGCTCCTTAGAGAAGGAAAAAGAAAATGCTCAGAGTTTAGCGTGGGGTGAAAGATAAAAAAAAAACTGAATAAAAAGCATCTGGTAAGCAACATCATTTCAGCTGCAAAACGTTATTGCTTTGGTTAAATAATCCAGCTGTTTATGGTCTATTGATATAAATATTGCCCACCGTGGTTTCTCATACATGAAAAGAAAGTCCCCACATTGCAAACGCTGTGCACAGCCTGTCTCCACCGGGGCGAGCAGCTGGTTTTCCCAAAGGACCATTTAAGCAACTATGGCTGTTGTTGAAAGCCAAACCATTGACTGAACACAGTTTTTATTTCATAATATGATTTGTGTTCATCTTTGTGCAGCAGAATTATGTCACTAATGTACTCAACATAAATAATAGCATTCTTTTTAACGTTGACTTGTGTTAATAACTACTTAAATCTGTGTTTGGTTAAAAACTTTTCATTATGCGTCAGTATTTCTTTTAATTATGAGCTGAAAATCTCTGGCTACGTTCACCCAGCAGGTCTTGTAATGGACGCGGCTCTCTGTGGATCGATTTTAAAGTTATTCAATAATGGAAGCCGACAGTATCTTCACAAGATCATAACAAGTGAAGGAAGCCAAGTAAAAACAAAGCGAGCTAATTTACGTCCGGATTTACGACGTCTGGCCTCTTCTGGTGCAGAATTATGACTCGCATCAATGAGGTAAAAGTCAGACACAGGTTAGGTTTCGAACCAAAAAAAGGGGTTAAAGTTACTGAAAAGCATTAAAGCAACTCACTGATGTTAATTATATTAGTCATCATAATTTAATTTTCAGGTTGTTGAATCGTTCAAAATGGCGGCCTGTGAAGTGGCAGACTCCTTTAACCCAACAAAGTGGAATAATTGTTTTTACCTAAAGTTTAGTTAAAATATCCAGCTTCTGTCCCAACAATAGAAACTTAGGATTTCAACCCAATATATTTAACATTGTGTAAATGTCACTGTTATGAAAAATTGTTTGGTCAAAGTGTAACTAGCGCTAGCTTGCTTAGCAGGTAAAAAGCTAATGCTATCTTGAGCAAACAAACCTCCTTTCTTGTGTACAGTTATTAACCCAAAACTCTAATTTTACAGTGTAATTTTACTAACTTAATGGATTTATTTCATCTCATCGAAGAAGTTAATAAATTATTTTTATTTAGCAAAGGGAAATATGCTAAATATTGGACTTAATGATTCAGCCTGAACAAGTACATTTGAAGTAGCTTCAGCCGCTTTTACACATTAATAAACATATTTTCATTTAAGTCTTTTACCTTTTAATTGTCAACCACATTTTTAAAATTTTTCTAAATTAGTCTCTTTTCTAGATTAACAAAAAACAAAAACACGGCCAACAGCCATCACTGTCCATAATAACTGCAGAATTTGAATTAATATGAGTCGTAATAACATTTAATTTCCCTTTGGGATCTATAAAGTATTTTTTTAATTAGACTTTTTTTACTCTTAGTGTGGTTACAATTACCCAAGTTCTCAGTGTAAACTAAAGGGACACCCGGCAATTTTTACAGTAGTTTCAGAGACAGTTTACATTAGGAAAGGGAAGTTGGTGAATTTGAGGTTTTCTGACCCAGTTAACACCAAGAAGTGGCAGAAATAATTTCTTTTAATCAATATATTTTATAACAAAGTAAAAAAGAGCCTAACTGCTGCAGAAAAGAAATCTAGATGATTTCTGTTGGCCTTTTATGTCTAAAAATGTTCACATTTGCGGCTGTGTGATTGCCTGTGCACAGCCAGGTCTGCTGAGGGAAGCAACCGTCAGCCCATTAAGAGCGCTCACGCCGGGATTTCAGTCACCGACGTTCTGTAAACCTGACACATAATCCTCCCTCGCACCTGGAGAGCTTAAAGAAACGGTGTAAATTCAAATCACCTCCGCCTCGAGTGTCATCCGGTGTCAAACTGCGAGGCGACGCGGCTGGAAGTGGTGTAATTTTGTGTTTAATCTCGGATTAGCCCATGTTCGCTTTGACACCTGCAGGAACTAATCTGGTTTGTAACACCTTAAGGCGCGCAGGAGGGGATTCTGATAGATTTTACGCTCCCTTAGTAGATTAGAGGTTTTATATGTTGCAGGAAAAGGTGCTAATCCACAGACTTTCTGTTGAACACCTGAACGTGCCCTTGAGTTTGTGCGCATGCAGCGAGGAGCAGAAATATTCGGAGCGTCTCGCTGATCGATCAGTGCTCTGATCTGTGCAGCTGGAGTGCTGATTGGCTCTGATATTGAGAAATAAAGGCCACAAACGGCGACCTTTTGTCACTAAGCTGCCACACCAAACAGCGAGAAAAGCTTCGATAGTGCAGACAGTTCAGGCTGTAAATTCATAAAACTTCAGCAGCTGATAGGCGAGGTTTCGGTTTGAGAGCCAGCAGACGTTTCGCCACAGCTTCTTTATCTCTGACCGATGTCCGAACTACCGGGTGGTTTAGATTTCCCTGTCAAAATAAACAGACACAGACTAATTTTCTTTCATATTACAATTTTTAAAACTCCTTAAACTCTAGTCCTTAGGACTGCAGAGAGAGGAACGAGTTTTCAGAGCTCTGGTTTTGTTCAGCACATTTTCTCCTTCAGCTGCAGAATTCCTGCAAATTTTATCAGTTCATCTCGATAAGATAAAGAAAATACATATAATAAATGATGAGCTGATATCAAGATTAATGTTTTTTATTTATTTTGCTCTGTGTTGTCATGAAACTTATAGCTTGCAGCTGCTGCGCTTATTTGGATGAAGGATCTGTGTTTGCTTTGTGACTGCAAGCAGCAGCTGTGTTTTTTAATTAATTTAAGGAAAATGTAGATTTTTTTATGTGGACTCCTGTAAAATATGTTTAAAGATTTGTTTATGTGGAGTAGCCATCGGCTGACATGGTGTATGTGTTGTACTGAGATGCCCTCGTCGTGTCTGGACACTTAACCTTTCAGCACTAAAAGCTTTCCAAGGTCAGATGAAGTGCAGCTCCGGTGTTGAGTAATGGAGCCTCAGTCGCAGCCAGCCATGGCTCCGTGTGTTTTCAGCAAAAACTGTGTTTGTGAATCCGCTTCATGAGATTCTTTATTTCATTTATTCATCTCTGCTTTGAGGAAACTGTTATCTTTTGAGGTTTTAGTCTTTTGAACCACCACAACAACCAGTTTTTATATACATTCAAATTATAACTGACAAAATGTTTATTGTGACATAAAAAAGAGAGCTGTGTCTAATTTAATATCTGAGAGGGGGAAGCTTTCATTTGGCACTATTAGATATCAGCAATTTGTTTCAGTAGCATTAGAAAATATTGACCCATAAATTGATAAGTCTCCACCTTCCTATTGGTTCAATGGTTGAGCAGGAATAAATTGATCTCTAGCTAATCTCAAAACTACGACGACTTAATCTCGAGCAACATTATGCGAACGCTCTGTCTGCGCAAATGAAGATTTACTCAGATTTCTTGAATAGAAAACAGTTTAAGGTCATTTAAAAAACTTTGTGGCATCAGCGCAAAAGTAAAGTTAAGCCCTACACTCTTGATCCCAGTAGACGTTCAAGAAAAGCACACATACACTTTGAAAAAATGACAAGTGGAAAAAACTATGAAAATACTTAAAGAGTAGGGAGATTAAAGGTTTTTCTTATTTTCTGTAACAGTAATTCATACTATAAACAGGTTAACATGTAAACATTAGACTGTCTTTATTCCCTGAAGAGTTTATAGATTCCATCATTTCCAAATCAGCTTCACTCCCATTTTTCATCCACTGACAGCGAGAATTAAAAAAAAAAAAAATGTTATTTAAACCTTCAGACACCTTTTCATTTCAAACCCATCATTGGTAAAGAAAACGTCTTCCATCAGTTACAACTTCTACTCTGAGGAGTGTTGCCAACATAATCTGTTAATGCTGAAATGGTGCATTCACTGACTGGAAAAGAGGCGTTTTGTGTGTTACTTTGTGTTCATTGGAGCTGAAAATCGGCTCCTTCCTGTCGTCTTTTATTTTGTTCTGTGACTAAACTCCGCTTTGTTTCTCGTGTCTCTGCAGGCCATTCGGTGCACACTGGTGAACTGCACATGCGAGTGTTTCCAGCCTGGAAAGATTCACCTGCGGACATGTGACCAGTGCAAGCACGGCTGGGTAGCTCATGGTAAGACAATGTCCAAGCTGTGCTGTATATATAAATATTAGTGCGCCATCAAGGTCCTGACCTCATATCTATACATATCCTCCGCTTGGAAAATTATCATAGATGCCAAAAGCATGAATTCTGTTCTGCAGCGAATATTTTGAGCTGTTTTTATGTCATAAATAAACTTTGTAGAAATGTCGACCTTTTCCACCTTTGTTTCCCCGTTCTGTTTTCGTTTTCTCTAATTGTTGTTTTGCAAAAAAACCCAACAAAAACATTTTTACAGGGGAGAAAGTAATGTTAGAGACCACACCTCATCCGTTTTATTACACAGGTAAAAAAGAAGAAAAAGGGAGAAGAGTGAAAGAAAGTACAAAGCGAAGAAGGAAGGAGGGGGAGATTAAAAGAAAACACCTGTTTGGCTCTGGTCCGCACAAGAACAGGCTGCGAGGCCTTCAGCGGATCGCACAGGACCCCATTGACTATTTTTTAATCTCTCCCTCTGAACTGAGCTGTCAGGCACACATCTCTCCTCTCTCCCCCGCTTTTCATTTCATGTCGGCATTGGCAGGGACTCTGACAAGTAGTTCTTCATATTTTATTATGTTCGTGTCTGGCTGCGCTGCCGTTGTCAGGCGAAGCCTTCGTCCCAGGATCAGAGAGGGAGAGGGAGAGACGCAACCAGGTGTCACCCAGACAGGCAGGAGGGAGGTGGAAGGATGAAGTAAAGGAAGAAAGGAAGAACTGAGACAAAGAGGACGAGTCAAACAGGTGTCGCCCAGACAGCCAGAGAGTGGAAAGAGGTGACTGAGGTTGCACAGTAGAGCTAATAACAAATCTGCTGGACCTAAAGCAACGTGTGAGCCCACCTGCCCTGCAGCTGGAGTTCGGTCTGCTTTTTTACATCAGAGTCGGGTCGTAAATCACTGTTCTTTACATGCGTTTGGGTCAAAAATAGTTTATAATGCTTTACCTAAACTGTCAGGGTGTCAGTGCAGTAAAGGTTCAAAAAAATGTTTTAAAAAAATGATGTGACGTTCATTTTTATTTATGCCTCTCTACAAGAAAGTCAGCTAGCAAGTCAGCTAAGTAAGTAAAATGATTTAAAAGTGGAAGATGGTGTTCTGGTCAGATGAGAACAAAATGAAGCTTCACGCAAAACTTTGTTTCAGCTTGAGTAGCACAGACACTTAGCGATGTAGCATCATGCTGTGCAGGTTCTAACTTCATGACAAACCTTGAAGAAAACCTTACAAGCTGCAGAAGACTTGGGCGTGGCGCTATGTTGGATTAGACGAACAGATAGCAGATACTGACCAGCAGTGGTGAGCAAATTTCTGCTAACACGCTAATAGCAGAGCTAATTTCTCTTTTAGCACTTTTGCTAACTTTGAAGTTTTAGTTATTGACTGTTAAGAATTCTTTAAATAGTTATACTTTTATATTCATGCTCTTATTTTGAAGTGGTGAATGTAGCAGTTCTGTTTCCTCTCTGTTTTTAATTTTCTGGGTTTTTTTAAAGAAACTTTATTGAGCAAGTAGCAAGAACACAGCAAACAATCAAATGATGCATACAGAAGAATATAACGCATGAACAAACAACCAGGGGTGTAAATTAAACAAATACATGTAAAAATTCAAACTTATGACTGTTTTGCCTCTTCTCTGCCGGTGATGTAGTAAATGACATTTAGTCTGTACCCAGAATGCATTGCAGTAGAAGGACAGTCTGTAGTAAACAACAAAACCGCTAGTTTAGTGGCGCTAGTGTCAATTTGAAAAAATCAGCAACAGAGGTTTGTACCAAAGAATCACCTCATGAACTGCAATTGTGTTTAATAGAAAGTTTGACCCTGTTGAAGGTGATATACGGCGCTCTGATTAGCCTGCGTGTTGTACCATGGAGCATATGGTTGAATTTAATGCTTTTCTGTTGTAGTGTAGTCCTGCAGATTAGCTTCTAAATGCTGTCTAAGTACAACACTTTGCCATTTCTTTCCCTAAATACTGTCTTGTATTAAAGCTTCACTACTAGCTTTTGTTAAATGTCTTTGTGTATTGATTTAGCTATAGCTTCTGCCAAATAATATCTTGTAAAAGAGCTTTAGCATTAGCTCCTACCAAACACTGTCTTTTTATAGCACTTTAATGTTAGCTTCCACTAAATACTCTGTTGGTGTAGCCCTTTAGCATTAGCTTATGCTAAATTCCGTTTTGGCATATTACTTTAGCATGAACTTCTAGTAGATACTGTCTTGGTTAAATATTACCTCGGTTTATCAGCTTCCAATTAATATTGTCTTAGTATTTAGTATTGGCTTCTGCTAAATACTGTCTTGTTATAGCACTTTAACAATAGCTTAGCTAATTGTTTAGTTAGCGGCGCCCTCCACTGCTAACCCAGTGGCCAAGAGAGGGAAGAGAACTCTAACCTAGCGCCTCTTGGCATTCGCTGTTCATCGTCTCCTCCTCATCTTTTTGCCTGCTCCTCCTTGCAGCCCTGGACAAGCTCAGCACCCAGCACCTGTACCACCCGACCCAGGTGGAGATCGTCCAGTCCAACGTGGTGTTCGACATCAGCAGCCTGATGCTGTACGGCACCCAGGCGGTTCCCGTCAGGCTCAAGATCCTGCTGGACCGCCTGTTCTCCGTGCTCAAGCAGGAGGAGGTTCTGCACATCCTGCACGGCCTGGGCTGGACCCTCAGAGACTACGTCAGGGGCTACATACTGCAGGTCAGTGGCCGCCCCACACCGCTATCAAGGCGTACTTACTCTCTCGCCGCTCCAAAATGGAGCCCTTGCTGACAATTTTCAGCCATTTCTGAAAGTGGAGAATAAGTCCACACCAGTGATCACTATCACCTTCACTTTTTCACTAAACACAGCCCACAAATTTCTCTGACCGGCGCGGCTTTTCTGAGAGGAATCGATCGAAAGCATGGCAGTGACAATCTAGGCCACTTCAACCCCATTTTCCCAACGTTTTCCCCGCTGTTACTCCCGCCTCGGTTCGCCCCCTGTTTTCCTGCCCCACAAACACTACAGTGTGCCCCTCACCCTGAAAAAAAGGAAAGGAGAGGAAAAAAAAAAACCAAAGTGGAGAAAAATGTCACGCCAGCAAACTATAAAACCACTGTAGTGCGTTTCCTCTCCCCATCCATCCAACCATCCCTCCTTCCACTCGTCCCTCCCAGATAATTGCAGACAGGCACGTTTCTCAATCAACGGTGCAGAGGTTTTGGTGTTGAAACCCAAACCAAAGTGTTCCTGAATGAATTAGTTAACAGTGACTGAACATGTGCATGTGGTTAGCCCTGTGTGTGTAAATCTGAGTGTGAGTAAGTGTGCTTATCTCAATGCATGTAAGGTTTAGGCTTCCAAGAATGTAAGTGGAACAGTATGGTGAGCGCAGGCTGGGCTGGAGGTGGAAACGGCTTCACAACTCATTCCTTTACATTAACATAACATAATATAATATAACAGGGTTTAAATCTGGTGTCTTTCTGCATAGAGTTGGCATGTTTTTAACTTTAAAAAATTATTTTAATTGAAAATCAACACAATAATGTGCACAATTTAAAGACAAACTCAGTTGGCAATACCAACAATTAAAAAAATCCAAATAAGCTTTTAATTATGTCATAAAGACTAATATTTTATCAGTAATAGTTAAAAACATGAATTCAGCCTCCATATTTGACTTAGTCAACGCTGTGCTATTAATTTGTAAACAACATTTATTTTGGTTAATATTTAGGTAAATTAGATTGTATCATGAATATTTTTATGTTATTTGTTTTTTTATGTAAATGAGACAATTAGTCTCATTTACATAAAAATAAATAAAAGAAGTACTAGTTCAACTGGCAGATTATTTTCACTTATAATTAGCACTTTTTCATAAGGTTTAAGGATTTATTGACTTAAGACAAGCTCCTATTTCTTGTTAGCTTTGTCTTAATTGAAGTGAAATGAGATATTTGCACTAGAAACTACCAAAGTTATTTGATAAGATTTTGAGTTTTTGCAGTGATTGTACTCTAACCACTTCTTGTTGTTCACATTTACAGCTTAGACCACAGCCAGCTGGTGAACTATCTGTGAATCCTTTATAAATGTATTATAACTTGTAGTGTTTTCCCAGAGCAGCTCCATTTTCCAGCCGGGTTTAAGCTACTGGGCGAGTTGTGTTTTTATCAGCTGGATCTAATAGTCAGCTGGTGGGAGCAGCGTTGCTCAGCCTCGTGTCACGCCACTGCCTAAATCCTCCCGATCTGCTCAGACGGGCTTCAAAGGCGCCGCGGCCGCAGACGAGCAGCCAGTCACTTCAGGACAGTAAGCGCTCGCTGCTCGGCCCTATTAGCCTGGGAGTAGCTGTGAAATTCAATCATCTTCCCCGAGCCTCCAGGCCTCGCTTTATGTCAGGGTGTGCTCCTCAGCGCCGCACTAAATGAGAGATAAAATGAGGAGAACAGCTTTGGAGATGATAAGTTTTGCTTTTAATAACGATGTCAGGCGACAATGTTTGGTAATGAATTCAGGGATTCTGTTTTTCTTAATGGTGATTCAGGTCTGAGATGGAAAGCTCATTTTGTTCACTTCTGATACCGATACTGGTATCGATATCTGAGGTTTAGTTTCTCGTTTGTCAGGAACACCTTAAAAAACGAGCTTACAGTGTTTCACAACTGTTTACAACTTAAAAGGAAACTTTTTAAATCCAAGTAATGAATTATATTGTTTCTATACTTACTACTCTAAATACCTTAGTATACTTAACTTAGAGTAAATATTTATGAAGAATAGGAGTTTGTTAGCTCACATAATACACCAATAGATTCACAAACTGGTCAAATATGTAAAAACAACTTTAATTTCTTCAGTCAGTTCAATTAGGAGTAAAACAGTGAATGTATAATAAAGAAACTGAAAGTCATGAAAACACAGAGTTGTCTAACTTGGCCAAACATGTAAAAAGAAACTGAGACAAACCTCATTTCAAATGACTCAGAAAGAAGAATTAGGGATGCTAAATATAATGCAAGATAAATAATGGATTACAAAGCATAGAAATAGACTGAATAGATACGGGTATTAATATTGGCTCTTTTTTCCATATTTTTAGATTCTCCTCGTACTTTTTCTCAGCTTCTCTTCCTCTCCATGTCCTCGTTTTGCATCATTCTGCTTCAGCTGAACTAAATGTGTTTCTCAGACCTGTGAGGTGATGTGTTTAAATGTGTGGCCGGGATTACGCTGCTGCATCTGGATTGATCTGAGTGAGTCGCACACCTACGCTGCCGACGTACGGCAGCTACCCGCACGCTGCCGACGTACGTACGGCAGCGTGCGGGTAGCTGCAGCCATCGCTCGTTTGCTGCTTCCTCACATCCGTTCTGCCTCAGCTTCTTCCAGCTCAATCATCGCAGCTTTGCTGGCCAACCGAGGTCAGAACAACCTGCAGAACAACCTGCCATTCACAAAATAAAACTACGTATGAAGACGGGGTTCTGTGAGGAGGTTATGAGCAGTTAGTATCTTACCTGTAATTCTCTGTTCAGACAATCTGGAACAAGTTTGGGCTGAAAAAAATCTAAACTGATTTCAAATTCAAATGTTACTTCTAATGGTGGGACCTGATGAAAATTTTAATGGATTTACACTGCAAAAACACAAAGTATGTTTAGTCTAGTTTCTACTTCAAATGTCTTAGTTTTGTCTCATTTAAAGTGTACAAACTTAAAATTAACTGTTTTGCAACATATATGAGCTTCATCAATAATTTCTTCGTATTGATGAAGAAATTCTAGTCCCTCTGACAGATTATTTCACTTATAATATGAGAAAAATATTTTGTTACAAATGAAAATAATCTGTCAGTGGGACTTGCCCTTTTTAATCAATATTAAGGAATAATTGGCTTAAAACAAACCTCTCTTTCTTGCAGAAAAGTTGCTTAAAAGTTGTATTTAATTTCAAGTGTGCCAAGATATTTACACTAGAAACTAGGCTAATAATACTTCGTAAAATATTCAGTTTTTGCAGTGTAATTGGAGTTTCTATAATTTATTATTTACAATCAATCTGAATTTAAAACCATGTATAGACAAAATAAGCAACCTTTTGAATTCAAAAATCCTTTTTGCTGCTAAATTGCTGATTAAATAGACATATGAGCTCAACAACAGAGATTTATTGTTTTAGTTTTTCAGGTTTTCCAGCCATCAGATTGGTGCAAAGTTTCAGGAAGCCGCGACCCTTCCTGGAGCTTCTTTAGAAATATGGTCTGTGGACGCTAACATTAGCTTTAGCATGTGTGCTGCTGCTACATGTTTAGCATTTGGATGCTATTGAAGAGCTTCGCTGGTAAGCTAACTGCTTTTAGCACAACTTGAACACAACAACGGTCTACTCCAAACTGGATCAGGTTTGGAAGCAGAAACTAAGGCCCAGTGAGACTGAGCTTCGTTACCCATACCCGTTAGCGGATGGTGCTTGTGCGTCACATTTATGGGTGTACCAGAAACGCGTGAATACAAAGGTTCCACTTGGGACAATGTAATCAAAAAAATCCAAATTAACACATTAAAGTCCCGGCGCTAATATTAAAATAACAGAACAGCTCATGAAAATTTTATTTCATAAAACAGTTACATTCTGTCAATATGGCAACAAACTGAACTAAGCAGTGGAAAAAATAAGCTAATATCCTGGTTCTAGTAGCACCAATCACAATTTATTTTGTTTCAAAAGCAAAACCATATTTAAGTTCCACAATTAAATGCACCCAAAATTTCATTATTTGTTGATGTATTTATTTTACAACAGAAAATACACAGCTTATGATGGCTCCACACATCCCCAATCAGGAAAATCCCAACCTTTTTTCAGATATTGAGACGTAGAAAGTATCAATCTTCTGTTGGCAGCTAGTCAGTTAGCATCGCTTTGCATTCAGGTCGTATAAATTAAAGCTGCCAGCCCAGACAGCGCACTGCAAAAACACAAAGAATTAGTTGATTTTAAAAAATATTAGTTCCACTGGCGGGTCACTTAAAACAACACTGCAAAAAGACAAAATCTTACCAAGTATTTTTATCTAGTTTCTAATGCAAATATCTCATGAAATAAGATAAAACTAACTTAAAACTTTTCAGCAAGAAATAAGAGCTTGATTTAAGTCAAAGCTTCTTGAATGTCAATGAAAAGTTCCACTGGCAGATTGACATATAAAAAGACATTTTTCATGTTTGAAGCGACATAATCAGCCTGTTGAACTACAAACTTTTATAAATATTAAGGAATTATTGACTTAAAACAGTATCTTCCGTCCTGCTGCTAAGTTACTTGTAAGTTAGTTTGATCTTATTTCAGAATATTCACTAGACAAAAAAACTTGGTAGGATTTTGTGTTTTTGCAGTGTGGTGTTCGTTTTTACCTCAAAACTTCTCTATTTTTGTTATATTCTGCTGGTTAGATCAAGATAATCCTTCTCTCCTTTCACTCTGGTTGCAACCCCTCGCCCTTCATCTCCTCCTCCTCTTCGTCTCGCTGGTTGTTTCCAGAAAGCCCCTCGGCCAACGTGCACCAGATGCCCGACTCCTGAGCTTGTCACCGCTCACTCCTCTGCTGCGCGCCGACAGATGGAATAGCAATCAGTGCGAGTCTCTCTGTCTCAGCTACTGTCTCCCACACTCCTCACCAGCTATTTTGTCTTCCTCTCTCTTATCCCTCGCAGAGCGGAATAATAAGAGCGCGAGCGGAGAGCCAACATGTGGGCCGGGGCCCAGGCTTTCCTGAGCGACATTCTCAGTAATGTTCTGTCCTTGTAGAACATTGGGCTGCCTCTTCTTTTATGAGATGCGGTTTTTCTGACTCCACGCGGCTTCCAGGAGGCCCAGATGGAACCGCTAACGGCCCCCACCGCCGCTGCACACACACACACACACACACACACACACACACACACACATGAACATACTGTACACACACAAACAGACCTAAGCCCTAATTGCACACACACTCGCAGGAATGCT